TATTTGACATGAACGTTATCGAGATTTTTGTGAGTGTGAATACCGCAACAATATTTTTTCCTGTGAACGCTTAATCTGCCGATTAAAATAAATTCAACGAAGCAGAAACGATTAATTTTTAAAAAATAATGTTTAATTACGCATAATAATTCCATGATGTATGCATTTGGCAACATTAACATAGTATTATTGCTCTTTTTTAAAGTAATAAAACTTTAATTGTTATTTACAACACTCGCGTAATTTCAAGTCTAGAATAATAACAACAGTATTGACCTGCTGATCGCAATTGAACAATGATAATGTATTCCATTTGGATTAATAACCAATTATATTCGCACAACTTATTGATATAGTTAACTACTAGCTACCGCCCGCGACTCCATACGCGTGGAAATTTAAAAAATAAAAGTAAGTAGCTTATGTGTTCTTCCAGACTATCCTCTACATCTATACCAAATTTCATCGAAATCCGTTCAGCCGCTTAGGCTACAAAATGTAACAAACATCCATCCATCTAAACTTTCGCATTTATAACATTAGTATGATTTGATTTCCCGCGACCCTGTTCACGTGTAATTAAATTAGAGCTATATGTTTATCCAGGCTATGTTCTACACCTGTGACCAATTTAATCCCGATCCGTACAGCAGTAGGCAACAAACTCTAACAAACATCCAAACTTTCGCTATATTACTTACTTTCGCCCGCGGTTCCATTTGCGTGGAATAAAAAAAGTAAGTCCCCTATGTCTTCCTTCAGACTATTCTCTACATCTATGCCAAACTTCATCCAGATCCGTTCAGTAGTTTAGGCTACAAACTAACAAACATCCACCAATCTAAATATTTAGATTATTTAGTTATTACTAACTAGCTTTTGCCAGCGTTTCGGTTCTCGCTTTACCTGTTATTTGTAAATTGAAGAAAAATATCTGACCCGTATTTTTCCTCAAAAAGATCAGGTTGCATGCAATAGAGGAATTTTTTAATATATTGCTGCATTTCAACATAATTATAAGACAATGTCGCATAATTGGTTATCATGCTGTCATTGCAATTTTTTTTTTCATTTCCTCATTACGTTTTAATTGTTCATTAGAAGTTTTTTTTTTATTATTTGTTAAGCTAGCGCTTGACCACAATCCCACCTGAAGGGAGTGACGATACAACGATAGTTGTTGACAGTAATTAAAAAAGAGTAAAATGCATTAAAAACCCAATAATTATTTTTACGCAGATAAGTTTATTTGCTATAACAATAATATCCAACTATAAAATACGACCGTAGAAAGTCCTCGGATGCTTGAAATTCCTTACTCGCTTGGTACGTGACAATAATATAAAACTGACCAGTTAAACCATGAACCATATCTTAGTAAATTCACATAACTTCACTAATACAATAGTCCAATACTAGACGTAAAATTTATTAGACAACTAGCTGTTCCCCGCGACTTCGTCCTTTCCTTTAAATAAATAGGACTTTAGAATATAAATACAAAGATAGTACCATATTATAAAACTACCTATAGAACAGAAAAGTTTTTGACCCGATAGGCATAAAAACTAAATAATCAATTGACCTGTCAATTTCAAAAATGTAAACCAAGATCTTTTTATACAGTTGCTAATTTGTCATAT